TAGGTTTCGTATTAGCACAATTAAATGTTCTGGGATTCCCATTCTTCTCAGAGTCAGCCACAGTTTGTTATGATCCACACAGTCAAATGCCTTTGCATAATCAATGAAACACAGATAGACATTCTTCTGGTATTCCCTGCTTTCAGCCAAGATCCATCTAACATCAGCAACGATATCCCTAGTACCACGACCCATAGTCCACTAAAATCATCTCCAGGAAAGGCCTTTCTAAAGAAGTGTGCTTCAGGAATAAAGAACACAATCACACAAGCAGACCTAAAATTCAGGAAAGAATGGATGATGGGGAAAATGGATAAACATGCACAAAAATAGACATTGGCTGTATAGAAAAAAAAACAAACACCCTTCTGGCACTGTAGTTAAAGCACTTGGCTGCTAACCAGTAGGTTATTGGTTTGATCCCACAAGCTACTCTACACAAGAAAGTTGTAGCAGTCTGATTTTGCACAGATTTGCAGCCCATCTAAGGGACAGTTCTGCTTTGCCCTGTAGCATTGCTGTAAGCTGGAATTTATTCAACAGCAGTAGGTTGTTGGCTTATATAGAATGAATAAATGTAATTTTCCTTCATGTAAAAAGAGATAATTGAGAAGAATTCCATAAATCTATTACAAGCCTGTAAACATTTTAGGTAATGTGTGTACTTTAAACTGTCATTAACTTCATCTTTTGAATAATTATAAGAAACTAAAGAAAATTATCTTGGCTTTAAAAAAAAAACAAACCCAAACACTTTAAAAATGCTTTCTGTTTCAGTTCTTATGGGATTAACAACATTGGGATATGAAAAACCTGAGACTATAGTTTTAAGCAGACCTTAGTCACTCTCTAGCTCACCATGCAGAATTTCAGGATGATGTGCAACTGTCACTAACACATGTGACTCTAGTAAAACATGAACTGTGGAGACAAGTTGTTTCCTTTACCACCCATCCCTTAGCACAAAACAAATAAGAGTGAAAGAAGAGAAAATGATTTAAGTAAATTACCTATTCAGACTGTGTGGATCACAACAAGCTATGACTGACACTGAGAAGAATGGGAATACCAGAACATTCAGTTTTGCTAATGTGAAACCTATACTTGGACCAAGAGGCAGTTGTCAGAACAGAGCAAGAAGACACTACGTGGTTCAAAATCAAGAAGGGGGTCTGACAGGGATGTATTCTGTCTCCATACCTTTCAATCTGTGTGCAGAACAGATCATCTGAGACGGTGGGCTGTATGAGGGGGAATGTGGCAATCAGGATTGGTGGAAGAATCATCAACAACCTACGTTACGCAGATGACACAACCCTGCTTGCTGAAAGTGAGGAGGACCTGAAGTGCTTGCTGCAGAAGGTCAAGGACTTCTTGACCTTCAATATAGATTGAAGCTCAACATCAAGAAAACAAAGATTCTCACCACTGGGCCAATTGGCAGCATCAGTATGGATGGTGAAGAGATTGAGATAGTTAACAGTTTTAGTTTACTTGGCTCCATAGTCAACATTCTTGGTAACAGCAGCTAGGAAATCGGGAGACAAATTGCAATGGGAAAGTCAGCTGTGAGGGACCTCTCAAGAGTACTGAAGAAAAACGAAGTCAGGCTGAAACCAAGGTGCACCTGATCCTTTCTATAGTCTTGTACGTGCTATGCATCAGAGAGTTGGACAGTGACTAGGGATGATAGGGAATTGATGCCTTGGAGCTGTGGTGCTGGAGAAGAGTTGAATATACTATGGACTGCTAGGAGAACAAACAGGTTTGTCTTGGAGAAGGTGAAGCGAGAATGCTCCTTGGAGTCAAGGATTCTGAAGCTTTGTCTGACATACTTTGGGCATATTGCAACGAGGGACTGGTCCTTGGAGAGGGACATCATGCTTGGCAGAGTGGAGGGGCAGCGCAGGAGAGGAAGACCTTCGATGAGATGGATTGATTCTGTGACGAGTGGTGGGAATGAGTGCATTTGAAATGGCTAGGTTGGCACAGGATAGAATGGCATTTAGAGCTCTTATACATAGGGTCACTATGAGTCTCAAGCGACTTGACACATAAACAACAACAACAACAAGCGATTCAGAAAAGGGGAGAATGGCTATCTAGTGTAGTTGTTGTTCAGTAGGGATGGTACTCTGTGTGTTGGGCCTTTTTGCCCTGATAGTATTTTTTGATTAGACTGATTTTTGTTCGAAAAGGAGCTTCTTTATTTATTCTTCATGATTGAATTGGCTTCTCCCCTTTCCAGGTTTTTCATTATATCCCTTATTCTCCATTGAGCATGCACTATAATACCCATAGAGAGATGGTGTGTGCTCTCATTAGAAGCTTTTTGGCCTTTGAAGCCCCGCTTCCTGCTTGTACAAGATCCTGAGGGTTGTTGTAAGATTCACTTTTTAATTCTGTTCTTGTGGTTTCTTTGACAATATGATTTGGTCAAAGGTAGACTTTCCTCTGGTTCCAGTTGATTTCATGTACCTGTGGTTTTCAGTAGGTGAGGTAATTTTTGGGTCTGACTTGATTATTCACTGTAATACTCTTAATCTGGTGAACATCTCTTGAAACCATCAAGATTAGGTGCAAGATACTTCATCTGTTCTTAACTTCATGGCTAACTCAGTGTCTTTTTACCATTTAGAATCTAGAAGTAGTCATTTTTCCCAGTCCTTTAAATCCACAAATTAATGCAGGAGACAAGTTTTACCAGGTGCCTTCCACATCATTGCCTGAGCCTCTGTCTCTCCAGCCTTCAGATTGCATTTCTTTACTGTAAAGCCAGTACTAAAACTTAGATCTTTGTTATAACATTTATTTTGATACTAGGGTTTCTTTAAAAAAAATATTTAGAATCTAGCCAATCCTGCAGTAATAAGTAGCTAAGTGCTGAAATCTCAGTGACTTGAAGTATAAGTTTATTTTCCTCTCATAAAGCCCAAACTGTATATTCCTGATTGATATGATGCTTATCAACATGATGATTAAGAATCTTAGGCTCTTTTTGTCTTGTAGCTGAGAATCCTTTGTATATAACTAGTAGAGGAGGAAAGTACAAGTATTACATGTTGGGTAATTTTATCGACAAAACTCAGAAGCGTAGTGCATCACTTCTGCATTCCATTGGCCAAACCAAAGCACAGAAGAGCCTGGGAAATGTAATAGTGTGAGCAAGAGGGAGAAGAATTAGGAGGAAAACTGCTGAGTCTTAATAGAGGCATATTCCCCCACCCACCCCACCCCAAAATAGATAACCAGGTTTTTCTTTAATGCACCACTAATTGGATTCATACTGCCAGCCGTTCAGTTTGTAACCATGCCTTTTAACTTTGTATAACCCAGAGCCTTCTTTTGCTGTATTTCAAGAAACTCAACTGCTGTTCCAACGCAGCAACCCTCTGTGGGGTTTCTGAAGCTATAAAACTTAAAGTGTAAACTTACCTGGGCCAATAGGCAACATTATGATAGATGGAGAAAAGATTGAAACTGTCAACAACATCATCTTACTTGGATCCACAGTTAACACACTCGGTACCAGCAGACAGGAAATCAGGAGGTGTATTGCATTGGCAAAAGTCTGCAGTTAGGGACTTCACATTGTTGGAGAGTAATGATGCCAGTTTGAGGATGAAGGAGTGTCTGATTTCTTTCCAGTCACTTGCTCTGCATCTGAAAGCTGGACAGTGAATAAGAATGACAGAAGATGAATTGATACCTCTGAGCTGTGGTGTTGGAGGAGAGTACAGCTAGAATAGTCTTTGGAGACAAAGATGATGAGGCTTCACTTCACAATTTGGGCATGTAGCTAGGAAAGGCTCTTCTTTGGAAAGGGACATGATGCTCAGAAAGGCAGAGGGTCAGTGAAGGAGAGGAAGACCTCAACCAGGTGATTGTCAGTCACTGCTGCAGTGAGCTCTAATGTGTCAAGAAATGTGAGGTTTGCACAGCATAGGACAGGATTCAGGTCTGTTGTTCATAGAGTCTCTATGGTTTGCACTCACTGGCACCTAACAATAAAAGAGACCTTAACCAGAGGAGACTATCCATCTTTCTCCTGAAGATGCTTAGCCTTTTGGTTAATGGTGCAACACACATTATTGTTGTTGTTGTTTACCATAGAGTCAGAACAGACCCATAGCTGACCCTCCAGTGGATTTTCAGAGGCAGTTAATCACACTGGAGATTGCCCAGCCTTTTCCCGCAGAGCAGCTGGTGGATTTGAACCCATGCCTTCAGGATTGCAGTGCAGCTTCTTGCCACTAGGTCACCAGAGTTCCAACATGCTATGGACTTGATATAATAAGTTCTACTGAAGACTTTATTTAAAAAAAAAGAAAAAGAATTTTTAGGTTATTTTCTTGTTGCTGAAGACTTGTTTTTATTATGTAATAAGACCAGAGGAAGTTTGCATACCTTTTGACCATATTCCTGGTAGATAATACTTGATAGTCAAGCATATGTGTATGCATACTCATATGTACCCAACGCAAATTTTATAAAGCAATCCTTTTACTAAGTTGGATCATATTTTGATATGTACAAAATGAATGTATTTCAATAGGAACATAGTTTGGTATTTTCTACTTATTTTTAATATTGTCCTTTCCTACTATTTTTTTAATGAAGGGAGCGTGAAAAACTAATTTATTAAAGTATATGATACTCATCTACTCCCACTTTTAGATGACCATGAAATTGGCCATAATGCTGAATTTCTTTAAACTCAATATTTTTGTGTTGGCTCAGAGACAAGTATAGTGAAGAAAGATTATGGAGGTAGAGACAGACAAAAGAAAATGTCAATCTAGCAGTGCTTCTACAGAGTTAGGTTAAGGTCAGTTACTTCTTGCTGCTCTCCTCTGAAGTAATTAGGCTACTGTCATTAATAACATTTCACAGACTTTAATGAGTAATAGTTTAACTCTTTGTATTTCTACATGTCTTTATTTTATTATAAATACTAGCCTTGTAAACATTGACTTTTTGCTTTCCCCTTCCCAAAACAGCTTGTTGCTAGTTGCAGGGGGTACAGTTTTAAAAATCTGTGACTTTGGTACAGCCTGCGACATTCAGACACATATGACCAATAACAAGGGGAGTGCTGCATGGATGGCACCTGAAGTTTTTGAAGGTAAAAAACAGTCATTGATACTCTATCTCATTCTATTTGAATCCAGTATTTATAGCTTTATAGTATTTCTGTAGTTTTCCTTCTGTGTTAACATTTCCATTATCTTGCTTTAAAGGGAACGGGTAAGTAATTGAGTAGAAATATGATATGCAGAACTTCAACTTTCTGACAAGCTGTTTACTTTCCTTTCTTAGACATAATGTCTTACGTTCTTAAAGAGTGCTTTGTAAGGTGTGTAATTTATGTTAGAAATATGATTTATATGTTGTCACATTGTATTTCATTTATTCCATTATTTAATCAATTTAAAAGTTTTTAGCCAGTCTAATAAAAGAAAAGTTTACTGTGTGGCTAGTCATTTTTCCAAAGTATTTCCCCCCTAATATCCTTATAAAAAGTTGGACAGAAAAGTGTTAATTTATACAAAACCAAATAATTCTTCATGTTTGTAAGTTAAGGTACAGAAAACAGGTTTTGTCCTATTACTTGGATGTTTCTATGTATAGGTGTTTTTTTTTCTATTTTTTCTCTCAGTTGTTGTTTTTTTTTAAATTTTTTTTTTTATTTTTCTTTTATACTAGTTTATTTACAGAGTTCATATACTTTGTTTTCCACTCTGGATCATTATTTTTATTCCAAAATATAGTATGACAGTTACAGACCACTGCTTAAGAACTGGGGAGCTCTGATGACATCGTCATCAGAAGTTGCACTGTTAAACCAAAGAGGGTCTCTCTCTGGCAGTTCATCCACAAGCAACTGTACAGGAGGAAGATGCACCATCTCCTCCCATGTGATTTATAGCCTCAGTAAACCTGCTGGAGGGTCAGTCAGCTGTGACTTGGTTTTAATTGAACAGCAGTGAGTTATTTTTTTAGTTCTTTAAGAACTTGGGTGAGATACAGAGATGTTAAGCAAAGCTGTGGTTATTTTTTCTGAAAGATTTCTGTTGATGGCATTTTTAAATCCAATCCTAACTCATACTTAGCCACTTTGACTCATAATGCTGTGGGACAGTAGAACTGCGTTCCTGGGGCTTCCAAAACAAAATCTTTCTGGAATCATATTGCCACATTTTTGCCTTCAGTTAGCAGCTGGGTCACTTAGCAGTGTGCCACCAAGGTTCCTGATGGCATCTATCATCCCAATTTTTATTTCAGCTTTAATTGTGATGCTGCATTACAGTGTACTGCTTAACTGTCACTATAAAATTTTTTATTCTTTTGGTGGGTTAATTTTAGGTGGGTTTTTTGGTTTTATTTTGCTGCTTCTTGTGGTAATTCATCAGTTAACTTTGTAGTACTTTAAGTATTGTTCCACTGATTTGTTTTCTAGAAATTTGTCTATGATTTTTATTGCTTTCAACTTAAATTTTCTCTCACCAGCTATTATGAAGAGAAAGAGCGTTAACATTAAATTATTAATTTCTTTTTCAATAGTAATTTTGTCCATCAAGAAAAATGGAGAAAGTTTAAAATTAACAAATACCAATGTGTTCTCTAACCCAGTGAAATTATTAGTCTAAATTAAATACAAGACAGAACCTTTACTTTTAATGTGAAAATAGAAAATAACTGACTTTCTAAAGTGATTTTTTTTGAGGGACATATGCATTATTGTTAATGCACACACACACACACACACAAATGTGGGGGGTGTGGGGGGGTGTAAATCTATTTCACACACAAATGTGTGTGTGTGTGTGTGTGTGTGTGTGTGTGTATATATATATATATTTTTTTTTTTTGGTAGCAAAGTCTTAAGGTACTCAAAATAATAATTCCTCACTTCTCAATATAGAAACTTCTTGGTTCTGTATGTGTGTTGTGATTTTTTTTTTCTACAATAGTGTTCATTCAAATTTTATTTAATCCATTTCTGAAAATTATATAGGAGAAAGTCTTTAAACTATGCTTCCTTGTTCTCCCCCCCACCCCCCCAGGTAGTAATTACAGTGAAAAATGTGACGTCTTCAGCTGGGGTATTATCCTTTGGGAAGTAATAACTCGTCGGAAACCTTTTGATGAAATTGGTGGTCCCGCTTTCCGTATAATGTGGGCAGTTCACAACGGTTCGTGAAAAGAAACTTTCTTTAGTGTATTTTGTATTTATAATCACCACTTCTCTCCCTCACCTCCAGAAAGATCATTTATCTTTACAATAAAATGGACAACTTTTTGTTGACTCTACTGATAGAGAAGAGAATGCTCATCAGTAGAAAAATCTGGGCCACTAGGTTAGCCTCACTCTGAGGTATGGAAAATCAGTGGACAGTTTTATGCAGAAAAAATGAAAATCTGTTCCATCTCACACGCTTAAGATAATTTGAGCACTATAGGCTTTTAATGGTAAGGAAATTCAAGAAGCACAAATCTCATAAAATCATAAAAGTTAACACTTACACTCAAAGGTATAAAGCATTGTACTTCTCATGCCCCTTTTTCCTCCATCCATATAGTTACTTCATTTCACATATTTGGATACTGAGATCTGGAGAGGTTCATTAACATACTCCTTCCTGGTCACAGAATTGTTAAATTTTAGAGCTAGAATTAAATTGCTCCACTGGCTATATAGGGAGCTATGGTGGCATAATGAGTGAAGAGTTCTACTTCCAGGCCAAAACCATATGATTTCAAATGCACCATGGGAGAAAGATGATTCACAGCCTCTGAAAACCCAATGAAAGGTCAACTTGACAGCACATAACAACAAGAGTGCATGTATATTAAATCTTCACTTGTAGACTATCTTAATATCTGACATTTTGCATTTGTGACCCTAGGTTAAAAAAAAATTTGTCCAACTGTTTTGTATCTCTGGCAGTAACAAAAGCCACCATACAAGATCAGAGTAATGGTTGGTGTAATTATTGTCGTTTACCAACTTGCCAATTGAGATAATTTTGGCAGTATATAGAGATGTTGTCATCCTCTATTTTTAAATAATGTCCTGATCTTTAGGCCTTACCATTTTGATAAATAAAGAGTTCTTTTTTTAAGTTTCATTAACTGAATGGATTCAGTGACTTTTCATCCTATTTCTTTTATAGAGCTAGTAATATTACCCCCAAAACCCCCTCAGACTCAACAGCTAACCCTCTATTGAATTTTCAGAGGCTGTAAACCTTATGGGAGGAGATTGCCCATCTTCCTTCATGGAACCTTTGATGAACTCTAACCATCAAAGAGATCATTCCTCTGGGTTAGCAGTGCAACTTCCTACAGTTAATCCTTAGAATAGCTATCCACACATAATGGAATGTATATATACTCTTTACTCATCAAGTTATTTCATATTTGTTTTGGAGAAATGTCTTTCAAAAAACTTCTGTTACTTGATTGTAATCATTCTGACTAATGGCATTTCAGTATTGTTGTTCAGTGCCATCTAGTCGAGTCGACTCAGTAACCTTCTGAACAACAAATCTGAACCCTGTCCTATCCTGAACCATCTTCATTACCGCTCACACATACTGCAGTCACTGTTTCAGTCCATATTGAAGGATGTTTGCAGCCATTTCTCCTCATTTTTATTTATTTCCAATTTAAGCTCTACCTCTACTACCACAGCTACTAGTGTTTGTATGTTGTTCATAGGGTTTTCAGAGACCTGCTATTTCAGAAGTTGATGGCAAATCTTGCTTCCTACTCTGTCTTAATCTGGGAGCTCTGCTGAAACCTATCCACCATGGGTGTCCATTCTGGCATTTGACATACTAGTGATACAGCTCTTAGTATCACAACAACCCACAGGTTACCCAAGTAAAGCAGACTGGCAAACAAGTGCTGTATTAATAAGGGTGAATGATGAACAATCAAGTATATGCACACTTAAGCTATAAAATAATTAGCAATATGTAAATCATTTCCTCAATGCAACATACTGAAAGACCTGGTTGGGTTTTTTTTAATTTCATTAATTTTAGTGAACGTTTACAGAGATTTTGGATTTCCATTCATTCATTGTTGCATTTTTCTCCCTGCCCACCCCTACCCCCAGTTTGCTTTTCTCTTTGAAAAGTAAAAGAAAAAATTCTTTCATTGGCATACAATCCTCCCACCCCCCCCTCCCCCGAGTACACTCCACTATGTAGCCTTCATTCTGGACTCTTGTCATGACCATAATACCCAAGCATATGTCATGAAAGACATGTTTTATTGGAGTTGTTTGAGGATTTTTTTAGCAGTATCTTGTACTACCTTTACTATCACTATAGAGAATTCTGGAACCATGACCAAGATAGATCACTTTCTTTTTTCTGTTAATTATTAGTAAATGATTGGTTTGTCAGTGAGAACTAAAAGGACAATTAATTGAATAAGTGTTAAACATCTTCTGTTTCACAACATAAGTAGGTGATTATTAAAAATATTAGTCTTGTTAAACCCACTAGTTGATAGTTTTCAGTCTGTAAAATGACTGACCCACCTTTCTTTCTCATTGTCATCAAGTCCATTCCAACTTGTGGGGACTCTACACTGAGTTTTTATGGATATAAACCATAATGGGAGGAGACGGTCCATCATTCTCCTTCACAGAAACTGTTAAATTAGAACCATTTCTGGATTCAAACTGCCAAGATGTGCACCACCTTCTACTTAATGCATAAGCATTATGGACTCTCCTATTAGAGCTCCCACAAAAGGATTATATCGAAGTCCAAGAGTGTAACATTTCAGTTGATTGCTTTTTAGATAGAAAAAAAAATTAATTTTCAAATTCACTTGCAATTTTTGCACTAAATATGAAACCATGATTCAGATAAGATTTTCCTTAAGCCACCATCTTATTTTTCTTACTAAAACATGCATTGGCATGTTATTTTTTAATTTGTTATGAAAAAATATTTGTGACAAGTAAAAAATTGTTACGTTTCAGTCTTCGAGTACTCATTGTAGTGCTTTGTGAAAATTTTGTTATTAAAAAATAAAATCAGTTTTAAGTTATTAGAAGGTATGGCTTCCCCTTTAAATATACATAGAATAAGTATTAACCTAAAGGATATTTTTAAATTTTTTCTTTACTGTAAAATGCACACTGTTAGATTATAAGATTTGTAAAAATAAGTACTCTTTTAGAAGGGCATATAAAAAATTTATACCATTTTTTGGGTAAATATGTTCTCTAAATTTCAATTATAGGTACTAGACCACCACTGATCAAAAATTTGCCTAAGCCCATTGAAAGCCTGATGACTCGTTGTTGGTCTAAAGATCCATCTCAACGTCCTTCTATGGAGGAGATTGTGAAAATAATGACTCACTTGATGCGGGTATAATCCTTCTTTTGAGGGGCTTTGGGTTTAGGGGAATTTTATATCTATGTATACTATGTTTTAATATAATAGTACATTGTCTCCTCTCCCCTTTGTACTTTACCTGTATTTTCTAAGTTAAAGTTAGGAGCATGTATTTATCATAATTAGATGTGGAAACATTTGAAAAAATTTTTAAAGGATTTTTTTTTTAAGTGGAAAGTTCTAAGTGTCTGGATTTGCTTTTCACTCCAGCAAACCTTAATGAGCCAGTGTATTTGTTCCTGAACCTTTTGCCCAGTCTGTACTTTAAGAAAAGCTGAATTAGATGATCTCTTAAGATTTTAGGGAGCTTTGGTGGCCTAATGAGTAAGGAGTTGCCCTGCCAACCCAAAGGTTGATGGTTCCAATCCACCAGCTGTTCCAAGGGATAAAGATAAGCATTCTCCTCTTGTGCTATTTATAGTCTTTGAAAATCCACTGGAGGGTTAACTATTAGACATTTCCAACTTAACTATAGTTAGGGTTGTTGGGCTTTTTTTCCTTCATGCATTCACAAAATTTTAGATATCTTGTAATATATTTTGACTAAATTTTAAACTTTTTATTCTAGATCTTCTTCAAACAATCAGTCATTTATAAACTATATTGAGAGTTTACATTCTTGTGGATGTATATATTATTTCTCAAAATGTAAACCACAAAAACTGTGCTGTCCTCAGATTCACTCCAAGTTGTGGCAGTATTCCTTTGGGTATCAGTCTGGGTTTGGGGAGGAGACAACCCATCTTTATCCCCAGGAGTAAGCTGATGGATTCAGATCACTAATCTTTCAACCTTTTTCAGCCTTTTGGCTAGAAGCCCAACACATAATCCACTACATCAGAGGATTCCTTGGAAACAGTATTGGTCATTATTTTCTGTGAATCCACCAGCTACCTAAAACTTTTCTGCAACCCCAGAATTAATATGCACAGTGCTTTCATGGTCATCCACAAATATACTCTAAGAGAGAAGTAAAATTAAGTCGCCTAATGTATACATTCTAAGATGTGGAACAAGGCACTGCTCTCTTCTTGGTCCAGCTCTCATTGTAAACAAATGCCCTTTTATAGTCTTTCCCCTAACCCCCAATTCTCCCCTTTTCTTGGTAATTTTGCTATTCAAAACGGCATTACTATGTGCATGAAAGATTATGGGTAAAATCCATGTTAGCTAGTCTTGATTCAATTTCAGTATTACTGAATCCATAATGTATACTAAGACAGTTCTCTTTAAACAGAAATACGACCAGGTCATTCACTGACTGCTTGATTAGTAATTATGACTAAAAGCACACAGTATTGCCCTAGAAGCAGTGGTTTGGTATTCATTAATTCAGTTCTGTCTATACATTGTAACTACCACAAATGATAAGAATAGACTATGTTTCTCACTGCATATTTTATCTGCCATTAAAATGTTAAACGTCATTCTAGGACTTACTTATTGTGTACATATAAGTGAAGCCTTTTAGAATAATTTTCTTAATTTCCTTGTTTAGTAATTTAGGATGATTTTAAATAATAAAAGAATTCTAGAGTTCAATCTTTCATGTGGTAGCTTGACTTAAAAATTCACATACTTAATGAAAGTGCCTGTATTTCTGAATGATTTATTTAGAAGGCTGTTTCATTCTTCTTAAATATGAACTAAACAAGACTTAGCCATTGAAATATACTTTGATTTGCCAAATGGCCAAGATTTGGTTTGATTGAGTATTGAAAATAGCTTCAGTAATGTTTGTGTGCATGCTGTACACAGAGCCCTAGGCCTAAAAGATATATATAAAACCTGTTCAGTTTCCATAGTCATATAACTTTCTAAATTGTTCAAATTATTTCTGCCTATATAGTCTTTATCTAATCTTGAGAATACTTTCTTTTTTCTATTTTCAGTTACTTGTTTTCATTTATTCAGTATTTTTATATTCTGCTTATCAGAGGACATTTATAACCTATCTTGGATCATATTTTGAAAGTTAGTTCTAACAATTATCCTATTGTATACGAGTATGACTATGGCGGTTGTTGCTACAACCTGGAGGCTTCTGTCATTGCTGTAAGAATATAAAGGTCTTCCATGTAACTATGAAGAATGATACTTTATTTCATATGTTCCTTTTGAAAAATATTTGCTGTTTTCCTCAAGATCATCTAGGCTCCATGTAAACTAAATGCTTAGTTACGTGGCATTGGTCACAGTTAAAATCCAGGGGAGACAACATTGCTGTCATCTTTATAAAAAAAAATGTTTCCTGCATGTTTAGTATATGTGGTATGTTAAATAAAGCAACATCTTTGCTATAGTCTGTTCCATAAGAAGAAAATAATTCCAGTGTAGTCATCGAGTTAATTTTAATGACATTTTATTTACATTAAAGACAATTGTTATTTACTTTTTATATATAGTACTTTCCAGGAGCAGATGAGCCTTTACAATATCCTTGTCAGTATTCAGATGAAGGACAGAGCAACTCGGCCACCAGTACAGGTAAGTAGATAGATTAGAAGAATAATAATTCACTTTTGGGGTTTTGGGGAGGTAGTGGAGGGAGAGTGGGAGCAGAACAGGTCTCAATTTTCATGAAATTATAATCAAGAAGTGGTGAAGTGCCTCCCCCATTTGCATTTTAATTCCGTCATTTCATAATTGACTGGGGTTTGCATTTCCAGGTACATCATTCTTCACCCAGATTAGAGTTTTTAAATAACTGCTTCTGTGTGTTGGAATTCTTACATAGTTCTGTATACAAAGCTATGATATTTATTGCTGTGAACTCCGTATTTGAAAAGTCCTTTTTAGTATATGTAGCTAAATCATATAGAAATTATTCTGAGTATGTATAATTGAGTACTTTTTACTTCTGTTCTACAAAACAATCTGCATTTAGAATTTCACCATGAATCAAGATTGACTTGTCCATAATTAGTAAAAATAATAAAGGTAGTAGAAAAAATTGTACCTCTCAGAATGTAGCATATCAGATTATTTCATTGTTATTTAATGTCATAATAAGAATAAAAAATACTGTGTATTTTATGCCATATTTGTTCTATATATACAATTTTAACATTTAAAAACCAGAAGTTTTCTTTTTACTGACAAACATTCTTACTAATCTATTTTCTGTAACCCCACCTCAAGAATTATATAAGGCTGGTTTATTATTTAGGTAGCTGTTAACATTCTAGTTTTGCTGAAAGTCTTTTGACTTGCTTTCATTTCTAAAAAGAGCTTCTCTCAGATTCTATCCCTTGCTTACTACCTGTCTCTAAGCCTTCTCGTTCCATATAGTGGCCTTTTATGTCTTACGTGCTTTCATTTTTTTAATCAGTTCTAGATCCCTCAGATACTTTCTTCTTCTCCCCATCACTGTCTCATTGCTGCAACTGACTCATAGCTGAGCCACCAACAGCTTTATATCTCAAGGTTGGAGATGGCCCATCTTTGCCCAAGGAATTGTTAGTGGACTTGAACCACCAGAGAATCTTGACCTTTGGAATAACAGTGTAACTCTCTACAAACTACGCCACCAGAACTCCCTTTTCACTCCATAGTCAGTTAAAACTCTTTTTGAAACAGTCTTTGTTTCCTAACTCCTTTCACAAACATGCTTAATTGAAAACCACAGACAATTAAATGAAACACTTAGCTCACTCCATGCCTGCACCACTGCAGCTGAATAGGATTAGAATCACACATGCTCGCTACTGCCAAATGAATGCTTAATACTGCTAGAAATTACACTTCATCTTAGTCCATTCACTCTTCTCCTTTGTTGTTAATGTTGTCATGTCAGCTCTGACTTACAGGGACCCTCTGTACAATAACAACAACAAAGATATAACCTTACACACACCTTTTTTGATTTTAAGCCATGTAGTGTTCCCTTGCTCTATTCACACAACAGCCTCTTGGTCTAGGTATAATTTCACACAAACACAATTAAGTGTCTGGGATTCCCATTTTTCTCAATATTAGCTGTAATTTGTTATGATCCACATAATCAAATGCCTTTGCTTTTTGTGCTTAATATAGTACAAATAAGTGTACATTTGATGTTCTTTGCTTTCAGCCAGGATTGATCTGACATCAGTAATAATATCCCTGATGCCATGATCTCTTCTAAATCTAGCTTGAATCTCTGGCAGTCTTTTATGTACCATGCTAGCCATATTTTAATAATCTTCGTCAGTATTTTATTTGCATGTGATAGTAATGATGTTGTTTGATAGTTTTCACGTTCTTTTGGACCATTTTTTGTGGGAATAGGTACAAATGTGAATCTCTTCCAGCCAGACAACTGTCCTCCAAATTTTATGGCATAGACTGCTGAGCATGTCCAGGGCTGCATCTGTCATTGGAAACATATTAGTTGTTATCCCATCAATTCCTAGGGCCTTAGTTTTTGCCAGTGTCTTCAACACAGCTTGAACTTCTTCCTTCCTTGGCTCTTGATCGTATGCTACTTCCTGAAATATTTTAGTGTTGACCAGTTCTTTTTGGCACAGTGATTCTTTGTATTCACTCTTACCATGTTTTGATGTTTCCTGGATCATTCAAGATTTTGCCCATAGCATCTAAGAGCAACTTGAGGTTTGAATTTGATTTTCAGTTCTTTTAGCTTAAGAAATGCTGAATAAATTCTTCCATTTTTATTTTTCAATTTTAGGTCGCTGCACATTCCATTATAATAGTTTACTTTGCCTTCTCAAGCTGCCCTTTGAAATCTTGTGGTTAGCTCATGTACTTCGTCTCTCTTCCATTTGTTTTGCCTTGTCAACAATAAAATGCAATTTTCAGGGTCTCTTCTTACATTCATTTTGGTTTTTACTTTCTTCTCTGTCTTTGTAGTATGTTTTTGCTTTCTTTATGGATGATATCCTTAATGTCATACTGCAACTCATCTGATCTTTGATCATTGATGTTCAGTGCATCAAATTCTATCATTAAGATAATTTTTAAACTCAAGTGGTATAGACTCGAGATCTTATTTGGTTCTTGTGGACTTGTTTTCATTTTCTTCAACTTTAAAGTTGCACTTTAGCACTTGACCTTATTTTGACTGCTGATACTGAGCTTCAACAATGATTCCTTCCACAAACATCAGCCTGATTCCTAAACAATCCATGTATAATCAGATGCCCTTTGTGTTTTCTGAAAAAGATATTTCCGATTACCCCTCCTTCTTCATTGTTTACAGCTTCATTGTATTCCAACCACCAGTTATGCATCATGATTACATGTTTAGTCAGTTTTGAACTGCAAAATTTGATAAAAATCTTCAGTTTTCTCCTCAGGCTTAAGCTGTTGGTGCATATATTTGAATACTAGTTGTATTAACAGGTCTTCCTTGTGTACATGTGGGTAATATCCTCTCACTCACAACACTGTATTTCAGTATAGAACTTTGTCTTTTTCACTCTGATTGTAACGCCATTCTTAACTCTCCTTTTCATTCCCAGGAATGCCTAGAATGTCAATGTTCATACATTCCATTTCATTTTTCACAACTTCTATCTTTCCAATATTCATCTTCCATACATTCCATGTTATAATTATTAAAGAATGTTTACAACTGTTTCTCTTCATTTTGATTAACTTCTGATCTTAGCTCTATCTCTAATACTATGTCTGTTTCTCTGTTGTTCATAAGGTTTTCCTAGGGTTTGTACTCTATGAAAAAGAATGTGGCATCAAGGTTGAAAGGACTCAGTAACTTTGGTATGCGAATGACACAACCTTGCTTACTGAAAGTGAGGAGTTCTTGATGCATTTGCTGTAAAAGGTCAGACACTGCCACCTTCAATATGGATTGCATCTAAATGTCAAGAAAACAAAAATTCCCACTCACCATTGATAGGCAACATCATAATAGGTGGAGAAAAGATTGAAACTGTTGACAACTTCATCTTAATTTGGATCCACAATCAGCACCCTTGGTACCATTAGTCGGAAGATCAGAAGACTTACTGCACTGGGAGAGTACAATCAGGGACTTCTCCAAATTATTGAGGAGCAGTGATAACACTTTGAAGGTGGTGCACCTGATTCAGGCCATGGTTTTTGAGTCACTTGCTGTTCATCTGAGAGCTGGACAATGAATAAGAATGACAGAAGAATTGATACCTTTGTGTTGTGGTGTTAGAGAAAAAGTACCAGATATCCCATGGATGGCCAAAAGAATAGATGTGTCTTTTTAAAGATGCAGCTAGAGTGTTCCTTGGAGGCAAGGATGATAAAGCTTTGTCTCACTTATTTCGAGCATGTTGCTAAGGGAATCTGTCTTTTGGAGAGAGACATCATACTTGGAAAAGTGGAGGGTTGGTGAATAAGAGGAGGAGCCTTAATTGGGTAGATTGAAAAAGAGATTGCAGCACTGGGCCCCTGTGTGCCAGAAAGTGAGAATGGCATACAATAGGACAAAGAGATTTCAGATCTGTTGTTCATAGGGTTTCTGTGAGTCGTATTTGATTTGACAGCACCTAACTACAATAGCTATACAACTAAACAAAGCATTATCCAATCTTTTTCACTCATTATTGTAGCCATCGTGTTAATCCGTCTCAGTGGGAGTTTGCCTTATTTTCCCAATACTACTTCAAAGTGTCCTTCTCGAACTTCAAAGTGTGTAAGACAAGTCTCACTATTCTTGCATCTAAGGAGCATTCTAATTACACTTGTTCCAAACTAGATTTGTTTGTTCTCTGGCTGTCATGGTATATTCACTGTTTTCACCATACCACAATTCAAAAGCATTATTCTTCTTTGATTTGCCTTACTCATTGTCTAACTTCCATGTCCAGTTGAGGTGATTGAAATTTCCATGGCTTGGACAGGTATACCTTCACCTTTAAAAATAACATTCTTTGACTTTAGCTCTATTAAGAGGTCCTTGCCAATAGATTATTCTTTATAATTTGATTTCTTCATTGTTGTCTCCATGGGCATTGATCAAGTCTTTATACCCTCAGTATTTTCTCTGTTTGTGGTTGTTTATTAGATTGGCTCAATTGTGAAGATTATTTTTTCCTTTATGTGGAAGTATAATTCATACTGAAGGTCATCAGGGTTCATTAGTAAATTATTTACGTCATCTCCATTTGACTGTGTATTATCTGCATATCACAGCTTGTTGATGAGTCTTTCTCTGATCCAGATGCCACATTCTTCATGTAGCCCAGCTTCCTAGATTATTTGCTCAATATATAGATTGTGTAGGTATGATGAAAGGATACAATCCTGATGCATATCTCTCCTGGTTTTGGTTAGTTTGTTGTTTTTTTCCTCCTCTCCTAAGTGCATTGGGAAAGTCTGCTGTCAGGGACCTCTCCAAAGTACTGAAGAGCAACAATGTCAGTCTGAAGACTAGGGTATGCCTAATCTAGGCCATGGGCTTCGCAATTACGTGCTATGCATCAGAAAGCTGGATAATGACTAGGGATGATAGGAGAATTGATGCCTTTGAGCTGTGGTGCTGGAGAACAATATTGAATATACCATGGGCTGCTAGGAGAACAAACAGGTACATCCTAGAGAGGGTGAAACCAGGCTTCTCCCTGGAGGCAAGGATTCTGAAACTTTGTCTGACATACTTTGGGCTTGTTGTAAGGCGGGACCAGTCCTTAGAGAACAACATCATGCTTGGGAGAATGGCGGGACAGCAAACAAAAGGAAGACCCTGGATGAGATGGATTGACTCAGTGACTGGGGTAAAGCGGGTAGGTGTGTCAGAGACAATAAGATTGGCACAGGATAGAGCAGGATTCAGAGCTGTTGTACATAGGGTTGCTATGAGTCGCAAACTACTTGAGGATATATATAACAGCCACCGCCTAAGTGACTTATTTTAAAACTATAGATTTTCTACTCAAACTTGAGATAACTTCTCTACTTTACCTTACATGTCATTTCTTTGAGAAAATTGAAATAATCAAACGTGAACTTCCACAAGCTTCCCTACTACCTCAGTTCACTTGTCTGCATCTATACCTTTTGTTCTTTTCCAGTACTGTGGTTGAATCAGGGAGCTCTGGTGGCTTTGTGGTAAGAAGTTTAACTGCCAACCTAAAGGCAGACAATTTGAAACCGGAAGAAAATGGGCATTATCCTCCCTTGCGATTTACAACCTCTATAAACCCACTGCAGGGTCAGCCATGAGTCATTTCCAATTGAAATGTACATAGACAACAATGACTGAATTAATTATGCTTCTACCCAAGGCCAGTCCTGTTTGTGCATTGTATCCCAACAGATACAATGTTCTTCCCAACAGTTCTCTTTCTGTTCTGCATCATTAGTTGCCTTTCTGTGGGGGTCATACAGCATAGGAAGCCTATATTTGTATTCTTAAGCTTCCCTTTTCCCATTCTTTCTTAGGCTGAGCTCATTCAGCATATTCTTCCACTATTGCTCTTGTCAAAGTTACCAATCGTCCCTATCTTAGGAAATGTGATGCTTTTAATTTCTTTTTTGATATCATGCATTATTCTTCTTATAACACTTTATTCATTTTGATCTCCAGGAAACCTTACTAGCTTAGATCTCATCTTAATATCTCTAGTCACTTGTTCCTGGTTTCCTTTGCTGGTTATGTCTCATCTCCACTTGTAAATCTTGGGTGCTTAGAGGGTCAGTCCTTTGACCCCTTCACGGGGCTGTCTACAATTATTTTCTTAGTAATCTCATCCAGTATTGTGGTTTTATATAGCATCTATTTACTGAATATCTTTTCTCAACCCCAGACCTGAACTCCACATTCACATATCCAACTCTCTTGACACTGAATAATAATCTCAAACTTAACACTTTACAAACTGAGCCCCAAATGCTCTCTTCGGAGCTGTTCCTCCCATGGTCTTCCTCTTCTCAGTAACATTCAGTTTTTCTACTTGCTTGGGTTCAAAACCTTGGCATCATTCTTGTATCCTTCCTGTTTGTAAGATCTCATATCCAGACTCTCAGTCCTGTTGACCTCTATTTTAAAGATCTGTTCAAAATCAAACTCTTCTCACCACATCTCCTCTTCAAGTTGATTATGTTGTTTACTTCAGCCCATCCAGTGCCTTTCCTGTTCAGTCCTTATCAGCCATAGAGGTTTCTTCAAGATTCCTGAAACACTTACTTTCTTGGTTTTTAACACTTTTTTCTTTCTTTTTTTTTTTCTCTTTCTATTATATTTTTTTTATTGGGAAAAACATATTGGGGGTACAAGGAGGTGAGGGTTGGGGGCAGAAGGGTGAGGATGGGCCAGGATGCAGTTGCTGAGCTGCACAGTTTGGTCGGTGGGGGGAGCAGGTGAAGGAAATGATGAGGGTCCA